CATAATTAAATTGTTTAAAATAAAAACATATGATTTTTCGTGCTCACAGTAAGTACATAGTTTTATATAGTTGGTGGTGTTAACTTCAATATTTCATTATAACAGAAAATTCTATTGCAATTATGCTGTTTAAAAACTGGTATATATTTAATAATATGCTCAACAAAAATTTAAATAAAGTTTAAGTGCTATATCGAACCTACTTTTTTGGTTAAAATATGCTATTTTGTGTAAGAAATGTACGGACGGAAATACAATTTCTTGAAATTGAGTTTTCATGTTTATGGAGTAATTAGTTAAATAATTAAACATTTAGACATGTTATACATGACGTGTTATATGGGAAGAATACCATTATAGTCCTATTTTTTGTTACTAATCCGAGGAACTCTAACTATTTTTCATAAAGTTGATCAAACTGTTAATTAAGACGTCAATATAGTCATATGAACTTGATACATGTAGGTTAAAGTTTAGAGTTTTATGGTAATTACTTTCGTGGATAAAGTTAAGTGAAAGCTACTTTTACTGAGGAGTTTCAAGAGTGATATCCAATGATTGTAGTAGAAATTAAGTACGATCCGGTTGAAATTTAGAATTTCGTAATATCTGAATTCAGTTATATTATAATGTTATCAAAAACGTGTATTTTACGACATCATTTTTATAAGAGCTAGTACGCTGACAGAAAACATCAAGGTAAATTATATAAAAAAAAATTTTGTAAATAATTTCACGATGGATCATTGCCCTTTTTATGTCTTGTTCATGGTACACGTGCTTCCTAATTTTTAGTTATATTTTTATATTGATTTACTTCACAACTTTTAGTGTCTTCTTTATTTTTGCTGTTATAGTTCAACATTGTTAATTATTTCATGGTAGAAAAGTAAAAACGTATTTTTACAAATAAATCTCTTTGATCCCTTACGAATCCTAAATGCCACCAGTTTAAAGATGNTTATAAAAGCTTTTAGTAATGATAATATTATCTATACAATTAATCATGATTTTAGAGGTTGAAAATCGTTTTCTTCAACTTACATTGATAGTTTGGTTCATCGTAATTCTTATTTTACTTCTTATTCACTTTTCTTTTAAAGTACTACATAAAAAGGTGAGATAAAGATTTATAACTAAAATTCAAAAAATCAATGAAAATAATAAAAATTTCATTAATTTTTTTATTGTACACAGATAACAAAAAAGCAGTTGTTAAAAGCTGGCTTGACTCATTTTGATAACGGAGCCGTTGATTTAATAAATCCTGATCTTACAGTTAATGATCAAGCTGAGTATCTTCCATATGATGAAAAGTGGGAATTTCCTAGAAAAAAACTACAGTTAGGTATGAAATCTGAGCTAACTGTAAAGTAGTGGCTATGATAATTAGTATTAATGGACAGATCGTGATATTTGAAATTAAAGGTCAACAGTTGGGAAGTGGAGCTTTTGGGGTTGTAGTAAAAGCAGAAGCTTCTGGGATTTGTGCTACGGAGGCTGTCACAACCGTAGCTGTGAAAATGGTTCACGAAAATGCTGAATCAGCTTATGTTCGCGCTCTTGTGAAAGAATTTAAAATTATGATGCATCTGGGGCAACACTTGAACGTTGTAAATCTTCTGGGTGCCTCTACAAAAAATATTGTTAAACGTTAGAATTTTTTTCCATTTCTTAAGTAATAATTGCTACCTTTCAACTAAGCACCAATTTATTTTATAGGTGAATTTTTAGTGATTCTTGAAGCCTGTGCTTATGGAAACCTACAAGATTATTTGATATATCATCGACAAAATTTCATAAATCAAATTGATCCATCTACTGGTGATTTTAATTGGTGTATTAAAAAAAAATTCAAAAGGTGCTAATTTTATGTATTTGTTTGTTTGAAAATCTAACTTATGCTTTAGACCGTAGGCTAATGGCACAATTTCGTCTCATGAGACGTGTGTGAGTTTTTTTGTTGATGAATTTTAAAATATGATGGAGGATCTTGAAAATTATACGTACAAAAAGTCAAACCAGTAATTGTTTCGTCAAGGAAGTGCTGTTCATAAATTAAGAGTAGATTTAAATAGGTTCTTTAAATTCACCAGAGGGTGTATAAAAATTGATAATTCAAAATTTTACAAAATTTTAGTATTGTTTGTACATAATCTGATGGATTTTTTGCATTCTTGAAAATACAGTACGAGAACGTAGAAGCTTTAGAATGGAAAAATTTCTATTTAGTGCCACACTACTTACAGGAAACGAGCTAATGTACTTGGCAATATTAAAATAAGAATTAGAATTTGTCTGATATAAAAAATCACTTATGTGACTGGCTATGTACTATTATTATGTGTTAATCTCAGATAATGAAAAGATAGTAGTATTTTGACTGTGAGACATAAACATTAAATTCGGTACAGTTATTCCTAGTAAAAATGCCTAAAAATATGCTAAATTGTATAATGTTGTGTAAGCCATTACTAAAAATTCTGACAACAGTGATATCTGGTATTGATTAAAAGATAAAATACAGTGAGTTGCTGTTAAAAATACCAAATAGCTCAATATTAAAAAAACTTTGTTTTGACGATTAGCAAATATGTTTGCATTTACCGCTGTTTAATTTCTTTCCAAATGGTATATAGTGTTCTTCTTTCTTACTGCAACTTATTTTTATTATTAGATCTAAGTAGACATCTTACTATTAAAATTTTCGAACAGAATTGAAGAAAAGGGTTGTCAGTTTCACTGTTTTTACGTGTGGTTGACATGTTATAATAGTTATTTGTACTTTACAAAAAGTTTTAACATTTTTTTGTGATATTTTGTGTTATTTCACATTTGCTATTAACCTTATACTGTAGTAAAAGACAAAAGATTTTTATTTTACTCGCTAATTAAGAGTAGATTTAAATAGGTACTCAAAATTTACCAGAGGTTGTACAAAAATTAAACATTCAAAATTTTACAAAACTTTAGTATTGTTTGTACATAATCTGATGGATTTTTTGCATACTTGAACATACTGTACGATAACGTAGAAGCTTAAGAATGGAAAAATTTTATTTAGTGCCACACTACTCACAGGAAACCAGCTAATGTACTTGGCAATATTGAAATAAGATTTAGAATTTGTCTGATATAAAAAATCACTCATGTGAATGGCTATGTAGCTGTAATTTGTTTTGACGATTAGGAAATATGTTTTTATTTACCGTAGTTTAATTTCTTTCCAAGTGGTATATAGTGTTCTTCTTTTTTACTGCAACTTCTTTTTATTATTAGATCTAAGTAGACATCTAACTATTGAAATTTCCGAACAGAATTAAAGAAAAGGGTTGTTAGTTTTACTGTTTTTACGTATGGTTCACATGTTATAATAGTTATTTGTACTTTACAAAAAGTTTTAACATTTTTTTGTGATATTTTGTGTTATTTCACATTTGTTATTAACCTTATACTGCAGTGAAAGACAAAAGATTTTCCTTTAACTCGCTAGATAAAAGTTTCGTTTTCTGGCGCAGGATTGATAAAAATCGTATTCAGTTTACGGAGGGAAATAAAGANTATTGAAATTTCCGAACAGAATTGAAGAAAAGGGTTGTTAGTTTTACTGTTTTTACGTGTGGTTGACATGTTATAATAGTTATTTGTACTTTACAAAAAGTTTTAACATTTTTTTGTGATATTCTGTGTCATTTCACAATTATTATTAACCTTATACTGCAGTGAAAGACAAAAGATTTTTCTTTAACTCGCTAGATAAAAGTTTCGTTTTCTGGCGCAGGATTGATAAAAATTGTATACAGTCTACGGAAGGAAATGAAGAAAGCCTCAGATCATATTTTTGTCACCCGCGGTCATGCCCAACGTGTAAAATATCTGTGATTCAAAATATTCTTCGTTTATTCTTCTTAGGGGAGAAGTATGATTATCAAAAATTATTTTTGTTTTTCTACTTAAAATAATAGTGGATAAAATTATAGTGATCTTTTTTATTTATGTTTAATTTGATGTTGAACTATATGTTACATGTAGAATTCTTATTTCTTGTTATTGCTGTAACATTTGTTATCTTTTTTCAAATGTAAAGAGTAAGTAGTCAATGTTATAAGTGAGTACATGGAATTTTTTTTTGTGCAAGAAAGTACAATAAAATTGTTTCTTCACTTTACTGATATATTATTAAGAGTCTGACACGTCTCCACTTTCAAAGAGTAAAAACCATTTTACTTGGAGCCATCACTAATAGTTGCCATTTAAATTTATACTCTTCGTTAACGCAATCCAAACCTATTGAAATCTTCATGAATTTTTTTTTTTTATGTATTAGTCATCTTTTTACTTTTGGTTTGAATAAAATAAAAAAAAATATCCTGCTTTTATCAAGTGCTTAGCTTAACTGAGACAACACTAAAAAATCAAACGATAAATTAAAGTAAAAATTTTTGGTACTAAACGACTTTATTATGACAACAACTAATTGATTAACGTGTAAATTTGCTTTTTTATTTACTTACAGAGCAGAATATATGGGTTCAGCATCGTCCAATCATTCAAATACGGTATTTAACAACAATAATACAAACTTTTCGTGCACTACGGCTCAGAACTCAAGCAATTCAATTGAGTTTTGTAGTGTCCATTACAATAATGATTTACAGCCAGGCTGGCGTTCTAACTACGAAGCTAATTACGAAAACTGGAAGCCTAAATGCATCTGCTCCCATGACCTTCTTTCTTGGAGCTATCAGGTGGCTCATGGTATGGAATATCTATCAAGGAGAAATGTAAGAATATGCATACAAAACTACTCACTTGCATTACTTTGCCAATAATAGTGTATCTTTGTATATAGGTTTTGCACTGTGATCTGGCTGCCAGAAACATTTTGCTGGCAGATAACAATGTCGTCAAAATTTGTGACTTTGGTTTGGCCCAGACATTATATAAGGATATGAACTACACGAGACTAAACAATGTAAAGTTGCCATTTAAGTGGATGGCCACTGAGTCTCTCAGGGACGGAGTTTTTTCGACAAAGTCTGATGTTTGGTCATATGGTATAGTGCTTTGGGAGTTATTTACACTTGCAGAACCACCGTATGCAGGCATGCATGCTTTCGAAGTATATCAGAAACTCATGGATGGATACAGGATGGGAATACCTAGATATGCCACGAAACATCTGTAAGTGAAGAAACGATAAAAGCTTTTTTTTGACTTTTGTCTTCAATATTATTTATTCATCTCATTTATTCACTTGTCAGTTACAATATAATGCTTAAATGCTGGGAGGATGATTCAGCTCTAAGGCCATCATTCACAGAATTATCGAAAAGTATTGGTGTGCTGTTAGATGAAGGTACGAGAAAGCACTTCGAAAAACTGTACCATGAGTATGAGGTTATCAACATGAATGCTGACTTAATAAAAGAAAATGATTATTTGGCAAATATGTCTTCAACGGACCAAGTAGCGCTTGCCCTACCTCAACAGTACTACCAAAATAGGTTACTGGAGGTTGAAAACCCTCTATACTTTCTTGTAAGCAACAATAACGGCCTTTCAGCTAAGTCCAGGAAAATCTACTTCATATTGTTCCATAACAAATATGATTTATAATTTCTAGGTGACTTGACTAACCGGATGAAGATAACTTAACAAGCTGACATTACGTAATTGACTAGATAAAATGTGAATGTTTAAAAAAATTTTGTCTGATCCACAGTAAATATTTTCTTAATATTTTCTTTCTTTGACGATATTAAACTAAGATTAACAAAATTTATCGAAAAGAATTTAAGTAAAAATTCACGACATTGTGAAAAGATTTGAATTTTAGAGAACGCCCTATGTTGTACTATTCTTTCGTTTCATCACGATCTAAGCATATTGGAAAAGAAGATTTAGAACAAAAGCTGTTGTGCGTCATACTGCTCTGATTTTTAGTAATATTTTTACATTGATGAACTTTTTATCTTCTAGGGCTTTAATTTTAATTGTTTTGTAGTTTGTCATTTTTAATAATTTAATTGTTACAGAACGAACGTCTCGTAATGTAAAGACCTAACAGAGCTTTAATTTGTTATTTGCATTATTGAGTTTGACAGTCGCTTCGCCGATACCGGCTGTAGAGTCGTCGGAATCGTGAGCCGTGACACAATAGCTGTAGAAAGCCATTGGGGGCACGTTTTCCCTAAAGGAACACAGGGCACGGGGCGGGAAAGCGTAGAGGCTTACCGCGGACGGTGGCTCTGAGACGATTGTCAATTTATTATTATTCTTTTATACTTTTTTCTGTTGTCATGGTAACGTTTAAATAAACAAAAGCTTGAGCTCTTTTTTATTTCCTGCATCTGTTTCCGTCTAAGATTTCGTAGAAGTAAGACGTATTGCTGTTATTAAGATATCGTGTATTTGTTCAACACTAATAAATAGTTTGAAGTTACTTCTGTGATTCAAGTTTTTATTTTCGAATCTACGAGTGAACGAAAACATTAATACTACACAAGTAAAAATGTAACATACAAGATTAATGTTTGACATTTTCCAAACCCTAGAATACTGATAGTTTGAAGCTAAAATTTTATTCCAGTCAAATTTTCAATTCTAAATTCAAACACTTTCACAGCTACTTGAAGTGTGACTCAATACTTAGAAAACTTGAGTGATGCTAACAAAGCGTAGCTTATCCAATTCTTAGTAATTAAAATTCGTTGCTAAGTGAATAGCAGCGTTAGCTACAGATAAAGTATAATGATAGGAGCTACTAACGTGGTAAAAGATTGCCGTTATTCTTACTTCAGTCCACTAATAACTGTTCATGTGATGTTTACATCGAATTCTTAACGAGTGAACGTCAATAGCTAGCGATTTACCACATATTTTACCTTCTTGTCTCTGCGGATAGTTTGGCAACTGTATTGCTTGTAATCCGTGGGTTATAATTTGCAACTATGGAAATCATAAGTCACTCTTGTATGAAAGTTGTAGAAAACTCGAAAGAATTGATACGGAGACCTCCAGTGTGGCCGGGCTTGGTCTTGATGCAGCAGTGGACACCACTGCTCCTTAGTTTCTTTTTACTTTCAGGTAAGTAAATTTACAGGAACGTGCGTTTATCTGAATAATTTAATCGATTGCTTTTACGCTTGTTGAGTAATAACTGATATTTTTATTCGAATGTTAAAAAAGTTCTGGGCTTTTTTCATAATGCCTAAATTTTTATAGTAATGTATACTAATTATAACGAAACAGTTTTTTTATTACGTAGTAGTATTTAATAATTCAATCAGAGCTGCATCCGGTAATACGATTCCCTACACTGCCTAAAAAAGTGCACGTTATTAAACATTTGTGAATAATGTACGTACCAATGGCAGCAGAAATGGAATTTTATATTGGATAGATTATTTGGAATGTTTCAGAAAAAAAAGTCTTCTATGCCATTTAAATTACGTTTTACTGCAATATTCATAAAATTGAATTTTCAAAATAAAGAGAAAAAAATTTGGACCTGACATAAATTGGCAAGTGAGTATCAGACATCTTTGAACGGCTATCCCATTTATGGAGTGTATAGGTTCAATCAGTGTTAATATCTATAATTTTATTAAATGCTTATGGGTTGCATATCATTGTTTGACTTCCTACACAAAATTCCACGATAACTTGACTGCAAAGATCCAATAATGGATGCGTTGCAGTTTTCTCTGACGTACAAAATACCCGTTCTTACGGATGCAGCACACCATGATATGTAGTTTTAATTATCTGACATCTTTAATTTTTAACATATGTTTAAGACACGCATTATCTCTACGTAAAAATTAATTATGTTCACGTAAACAGATTGCTATGGGTATAAGCCACAGCTTCATCCAAATGTTACCGAGTTGGAGATAGCCGAAGGAGAATCTCTGGAAATAACGTGCACAAGCAACGGATTCGTACAGTTTTATTATCCAAACTTATATTTATTTCGGGGTGTGAGTTAAACAGATTTTTTATATTTATTTATAGTATTAAACTTAATGCTTTATTCGTTTATTTTTTTGTTTTAACACGTACAAACAATTTTTTCGTTCATAAATATAGGTAAAAATAACGTCTGATTATGAAATTCATCCAATTGGGGTGAGTGACAATAAAACGTTTTTAAGAAAATCAGTTGTCATTGGGGATGCTGGATGGTATGGTTGTACTGATATAAATACGAAAATCGCACCAAAAACTAGTACAGACTTTACTAACCCCAGTACCAGTTGGATGTACGTTTATGTTAATTGTAAGAATCTTAACATTTATATGTACTTGACTAACTTTTTTAAAATTGTGTTAAACGTCCTATTATAACGACAAAAAAATAGTATAATAATATAATATTTTTAACGCAGCTAAAAAAAGTGCCTTCCTCCAATCGCGTTGGATTCCACTTTGATCGGTAGGATGTAGTCCTCATTATGCTATTATTCCGTGCCGAACAACCTCACCTCGAATTGAAGTTACGCTAACAACCAGTGATTCTGTAATACTAAATTTTGGCAAAAATTTATTCACGTGTAAACCAGTATTAGATTAACGGTATATTTTCCATCAGAACTTGCAGGAAATCATAAATAGAGACGCAATTTTTGATCCAAAAGTTGGATTTGTCTTCAAAAATTTGAGTTTTTATAGCTCTACAAAACAATTTCCCAGATTAATCTGCAAAGCAAATAATGGTGATTTTACGATCAAGACGATGATATTTTCTAGAAAATTTTTTCGCAATTGCATAAGTGAACCAGTTGTAAAAGTAGAAGGTCGAAAAAAAGTTTTTTTGGGCTCTACATTCAACGTTACGTGTACAGTTAAGGTCTACGTAGAAAGTTCTAACATTATTTCCTGGAAAACTCCACGAACTTCAGTAAGAGCCTTTTACTTCATTTACTCACAATTTCTATAGCTGCTTTCACACTGATCAGGAGTGTAAACGTATAAGTAAATCAACAAAAAAATATGCTTAGTATGTCAGGTTTAATAAAAAGTTTGTTGAGACCCACCCTTTAAAAGTAAGTTTATTTTGCTCAGAATATCATGTTCTGCGAGGAAAAAATCGTGAAGCCGGGTATATGGACGTATTTTTTCGTGAAAATTTCAAATTAATAGTAGAAAATTATACCATGTATTTACGATTTTTTTCGCATGGATCATAACATTGCAAACAAAATAAACCAAGTTTCAAAAATGTACCTAAAAAAAAAAAAAATTTTATTAAAAAATGGGAGAACTATTCGGAACAAATTTCGTAGTTTTACTTATGTACACTGTGTATAAACAATTTCTAATATATTTAATGTGTACATGGATTAGGCCTCCAAATTATCTTTAACCCAGATACAAGTACCTGAAACTGCAATCAATGATTTAATCATATCCAAACTTATGATAAATAATGTAACTTATGAAGACGAAGGTAGTTACACTTGTCAAGTGAGATCTTCGTTCAATGAGGATCGTAGTTCAAACGTATTCATAAAAGTATACGGTAAGTTTTGAAAATTAAAAACAGTAATATTCCTGTATGTAGAGACAAGCACTTGTATTTTTAATGTTCTATATATTTACAGATCCGAATAATTCTTATATGAATTTAAATACTATTAACAGAGTCAAAGTTAATAGCGTTGATAATTTAGTAATGCTTACAGCTCACATTGATGCTCATCCACCGCCAACTCTCATGTGGTAATAATTGCATTTGCGTAAAACTATACATTCGTGCTAAAACCAATAATTTACGATGATTTGTAGTATAAAATATAAAATTTTTCAGGCTTACACCCAACGGTACTGAGATTTTTTTGGGTAGTAAATTTAGGAGGCCTTATTACTTTAAACAATTTGCACAATATCCAGAAGGTAATTTAATGATCTATGATGTTCAGTTAGAAGACCAGGGAATTTATACTCTTAAAGCAAACAATAGCAATGAAGTAAAGCTTTTGAATTTTTCTGTTAAAGTTTACGGTAATGTTAATATAGTACATAATGTCAAATCATTTTATGCGGAAACCCTAAGTCCTTTTCTTTATACAAAACACAAATTATTGTACATTTGCAGAGAAGCCACATGTTATATTAATCGAAGAAGAACTCAAGTCTTTTTACAGTTTAAACACAATTGCTACGTTTGCTTGCCAAGCCACTGGTAATCCTGAGCCTAATATGACGTGGTATTACAAAAAGTGTCTAGATTTTGATTCTAGCTATGATTGTGAGATGAAGGAGTTGGAGGTATGTTTTTATTTTCTAAAAAAAATAGAGCTTTTTCAATAACGTTCATTAGTGCATTTACGAATCTGAACATGGAGAAAAACCTTATTGCTGTAATAATGATCTAACTGATTAAGGGTAAGCAGAGTAAAAATAGAGTTTATTCAGAATTAAAAGTAAATTTGGTAGCATTTGGCGAAATCATTTGCAAGGCTTGCAATTTATATGCCTGTGACTCAAAAAAACATGAAATTCAAATTACTGGTGTGTTTATTTAAGTTTATACTTTGTGTTCTGTTGTTATTTTGAAACTATTTCATTTTACGAATTCTTCGCTTTTTCCAGACTTAGTTAATGACGCGCCTTATGGAATAACAGGGC